AGCTAAAATGAACTGGGTTTCCAAAGTGGCGCTCTCATAAAATCAGAGGGTGGGGTTTCTGATGTATTTTTATGTGATAGTCCACACACACACACACACACACACACACACACACACAGAGAGAGAGAGAGAGAGAGAGAGAGAGAGAGAGAGAGAGAGAGATCTGTAATATATATGTGGAGACTTACATTAATTTGGAGACTTACATTAATTTTAAACACTGATGGCCAGGGCCGGCACCAGACGAGAAAGCATGTGCCTGGGGCGGCACATTGTAAGGGGCGGCATTCCGGCCAATCTTGGGGCGGCCAGCCCAGCCCTGAAGCGGCACGGACCCCGACCCGGGGGGCAGGAACTAGTGATCCCCGGTGCTCATCGTGACACCGGGCTCCCCGGGACGTGCCACTCCCCGCAGCCTGCACTGGCCTCCGCCTCCCACGCTGCTCTGAGCCCGGCCGAGCCGCCTTTAAAGGAGCGGCTGAGCCAGCACCTCCTGCAGCCCCCGGGCACTGGAAGGTGGGAGAGTTCTGCGGCGGCCCGATGGGCAGCGGTGGCAGGGATGGTTCTGCGGCGGCCCGGCGGGCAGTGGTGGCAGGGATGGTTCTGCGGCGGCCCGGCGGGCAGCAGAGGGGTGGGCCCCACTGATCCTGGCGCCGTTTGCACTGTGCCGAGCCCCGCTGCAATGCCAGCCCCATGCGGAGGTCACAGACTCCAGCCAGCGCTGCCTGTGTCGGCCCCCTTGGAGCCTGCCCGGCCGGGAGAGGCACCCCAAGGCCGGAGGGGGGAGTCCCTCTCACCCGGCTGCAAGCGGACTGCAGCGCCTGGCTGCCCACGGGCGGAGGGAGCGGGCGGGTGCCGCCCTTCACCCTCCTGCAAGCCGCCTTGACCGCCCTCCACGCGCTCCCTGCGGCTGCCGTTTGTTTGTTTTTTTGCTTTGGCAGTCCGGCCGCCTTATTTATTTATTGCCTGGGGTGGCAAAAAAGCTAGAGCCGGCCCTGCTGATGGCCATTCTTATTCCACCTGGTTGAGAAGCTAGATTATGATGCCATTAACATGTAGGGTTGCCAATTTTGGTTGGATGGATTTCTGGAGATTTCATCACATGACATAATCTTTAATTGAAGATTATGTCAACTTTTAATTCCTGGAGACTCCAGGCCAACCCTATTAACATGCAGTGTAGTTGTAGCCATGTTAGTCCCAGGATATTAGAGAGACAAGCTGGGTGAGGTAATATCTTTTATTGGACCAATTTCTGATTGTGAAAGAAACAAGCTTTTGAGTCACACAGCGCTCTTCTTGAGGAGACCTGAAGATACTGCCTCACCTACCTTGTGTCTCTAATGCCTTTAACAGACAGAGGAAAAGAAGTTTCCTGTGTTCTGTAAAATAAAACAGTAGTCTGTTGCACCCAAATGTTAGCCAAATGGCTTTTCTGCAATGAGGATATTTGGAAGTTTAATTTTTAACTTAAACCACATAAAAAGAGTTCAAGAAGTTTTGGCTAAATGTGATAATCAAAAGATGGGATTATATAATGTTGTCCTTTTAAAAATTACTGTTACTCTGGCTAGAGCCTTAATTATCCTATATTTCAGGGCTATTTTAACATTGTGTAGTGCTGCTGCTGCCATAAATCAAAATAAAATTTGTCTTCAACCAATTTCTAGGAGGATTATTTAAGACAGGCAGCTCTTACTTAAACAAGTAGTCCTTGATTACTACTTTAGTAGTCAGTGGGTAAAATTCCACCCTGGCATAACTCCATTGATTTAGTAGAATTACACTCGGGATGAATTTGGCTCAGTGGGATACTTGCACAAGTAAGGGTTGCAGGATCAGACATTTAATCTCCAATTCCACAAATACTTACACATTAAAGTATTCTCTGGAACTACTGGTATGTATAATATTCATACATAAGTGTTTGCAGGATCAAGGCCTAAGATTGTAATTTGTTGAGCTATTTCAGTCTGGTTATATGCAGTGACAGGTGCTCACTATATTTTTGTTTAAAAAAAAAAAAAAAAAAAAAGAAAAGAAAAAGCTTGTAGCGTGAAGACACTCATTTCTGATTAAACAAAACAGATGTAACTTCACTCTGTATACCCCTTGATATATCAGTTTTTCTAAAATCCATAGTCTGTCTCCTAAAAGTATACATGGTGGGGGGCGGCGGCACAGGGGGAAGAGAACCAGCAAAACAAGCTTCCCTAAAAATAAAAACCCTAACCGGACCAAATTCTGCCTTAAGTTGCACATTTGAAAACCCATTCATTTCAGCAGAGTGACACAAAGTGGTAGGTGGTAATCTGGGCTTGCTGTGCTTTAGACAAAATGTGTATTGAACATTTTAAATGGAATGTAGTTATTTTTAAACTCTTGTCCATGGTTTCTTTGGATGATTAATATCTTAAACCTAAAGCGGATAGGATGAGATCTGTATACAATATTTGATTTACAATGAGATTCAGAACTGTAATTGATCAGACAGATGAAAGATCTTTGACTATAAATAAGTCTCTGCATTCACTTAAACATTTTAGCTGTAAAGATCCTGCAATCTTTAATGAGCCAAAATTCCCATTGAAATAGTGAGAGGTTTTTTTTGCCTGAGTAATAACTGCAGCAATGGACTTGAGGAATATTTTTCTTTTAAGAATTTCATTTACTATGATAAATGCTCTTTATAATAGAGACATGAAATGGCTGAGGGTGTTACTTTTTACACTTGACATCCGTATGCTGTTTGTAACCTGCTTTTTAGTGCATGCAAGCAGTCTTTCTATTTTTCACTTTAATTTCAGGTTAGTACAGAGTGGGGAGCACATGGAACTGTGAATTAATGATCAAATACATTTCCTTCCAATCAAATCTCTGAAACTCCCCAAGCCTCCCAGCCCAGTGGACTGATGCATTTTAATATCTGTCTAATACTCCATTTTTGATCTCACTTTCAGAAGCTGGTCGGTTTGGCTTTTTTATTTTTGGAAGCCGTTTTTTTAACTCAAGCTTTTAAGATGTAACATGATCACATAATCAATTGTGTGTGTATTACGCACATGCACCTAGTGTAACTTCACTTATGCAATTAAGTGCATTTATGTTGTTATGGAGAAAACTGAAAAAGAACAGTGACAATAAAGAAATACATTTTAAAAACACACATATACAGGAACCAAAAATATAGTATATGATTTTAATACTGTAACCATTAATGTTAAAACTGAAATAATAAAACAAGGGAAACCAGTGACCAGTTCCTTCCCCCTCCCCCCATGCATATACATTTCCTATGTTCTCTTCAATTCATACTGCTTAATGTTTTAATTGTGAATAATTTTACGACTCTTTGCTCATTACAAGGTGATCCCTAGAGGACTCCAGCTTCCTAAAAAAGCCAGTGCAGCATGTCCATAGCCATCACCACTATCCTAATTCATCACACACAATAGAAAAACAAACCAGTAAATCATCCTAATCTAGCCAGACACACAACTCCAAGAATGCAAGTAGGATTCAGCTCTATTAGGTTTATGTGCTTTGCCTTTGTAATTGTTGCTATACATAATACATTCAATAGGAGACCAGACCTTACAATAATTACAAAATAGCTTGGACCAAACTTTGTGTAATTCCATTGGCTTCTGAATTCATGTGACCATCATCCCAGACAGATAGGCATTATTGTTAAAACAAATATCAAATGAACACGAAAGAAACATTTCTGCAAGAAGTTTGCCAACCCAAGAATATCTCTAGTGCAGGAATAGTGCTGGGTTTATTGGTTAGAAGGAAAATAAATTATTGCTTTTGACTTCATACAACACTTCTTTTGTACCTGCAGTTTTGCTGCGTGTGTTTTGCTAGAATTTCCTAATACATTTTAACATGTAGTTTTCAGTTCCTTTTGTTGGATGCTGCTGCTTCTCTTTTCTTCCCCACATTTTCTCTCCTTAACTATTACCTGTTTTATGTATGTCTATCATTTCTGTATTATTCCACTGACCCAGAGACAGGTTTTTCTCCTTATGATGACTCTGTTTTGTGGCCATTGTCTTAGACGAGCAAGATTTCCAAGTCTGCTTCTGACCCCTATTTCTTGAGGAGTAAAAACCTGCTGCTGTGTCACCAGATTGTCACATAGTTCTCCCACTTTACATTATTTTTGCCATGAGGGGATGAGCAGACTTCAGTCACAGAAATGTGGGCAATGCCCACTTCATTTTTGGGGATGTTCTATTTCTTACAGCTATTCTCTAACTGTTTCCTGGATCTCCTTCCTCCCTCTCTGCCAACTGCTGCTGGTGGCACTTCCAATGTGATGGGCAGGATGATGTTAGTTTTGGGTCTTCATGTAGTATCAGACCACCTTCTCCTTCTCAGCACTCAGTTGGTTCTGAAGCTGAGGCGCCTTTCCCTTCCAGAAACCAAATGTGCCCCATCTTTGGCTCTATCTGCACTGGCACGGAAACTATGTTGGGCAACTCACTTTAAAACTTGATTTATACTAAAGTCATTTAGCTGGCTTGTGCAGTCCCAGCACAAGCATTCCACAAACTGTCTTCCACACTCTAGAAAATGGTTCTGTTTATGAAGCACTGGCTGGAGAAACTGATATGAAGCTATCTTTAAGAAGGTCCATGTTTAAAAATGGTTCTATTGCCAGGGTAGATAGATTCTTAGACATACTTGAATCACAGAGTATGGAAGAATTGACAATGGCTGCAGCACAAGCAGCCCTGTAACTCGTACAATGCAGCTGCAACATACTTTTTCCAGAGAACCCACAGAGACACAGGTTATTATTTAGTGTGATAGAAATGGCTGACCATTTCCAGGCTGTAGGTGGTGATATGACATTTTAGAAGTTTCCCCTCTGTATTTTGATCTAAATGGAAATATTGCCCTCTAAATCAGGATGAAGTATATTGGAGAACTGGGTATTAAAATTGGCTTTTCAGGCTGATTAAAACTTCCCCTCCCTCCCTCTGTTTCAGCAGTGTGCAGGGTAGAAGGGATCGGGACCCATATGTCAATGGTCTAGGATGGCCAGTGAAGGCTCCAACATCCCAAGTCCTGTGGTGCGACAGATTGACAAACAGTTTCTGATTTGCAGCATATGCCTGGAACGTTACAAGAACCCCAAAGTACTTCCCTGTCTGCACACTTTCTGTGAGAGGTAAGAGCTGTTTTTTCCCCATTTGTGGTTCATGGTTTTTCTTTCTTTTTAGTTATTACAGTGCATACCCACAAACCTACAATTATCTTCAACCAGCAATACCTTCTGTCTATCTAGGTCATCCTGAAGCATGATCGTAAATTAAAGATTAGGGAGGTGAACTGGCATTATTCATATTGGGCAGTAAGCAGGAGAGAGCAACAGAATATCTGCAATCCCAAATTTTTATTTTTATAAATGAATTTTGTATGCTTTTTCCCTTCTTTCACTCCACCGTCCCCTTCTGGTTTTGCCTTGTTAAAAAGAGCCAGGACCAAACATAGTTATTGCTCTATAAGTTAGGCCTGGTCTACACTAGGCGTTTATGTCGAATTTAGCGCCGTTAAATCGAATTAACCCTGCACCCGTCCACACCACGAGGCTATTTAGTTCGACATAGAGGGCTCTTAAATTCGACTTCTGTACTCCTCCCCAACGAGGGGAGTAGCGCTAAATTCGACATGGCCATATCGAATTAGGCTTGGTGTGGATGGAAATCGACGGTAATAGCTCCGGGAGCTATCCCACAGTGCACCACACTGTTGACGCTCTGGACAGCAGTCCGAGCTCGGATGCTCTGACCAGCCACACAGGAAGAGCCCCGGGAAAATTTGAATTCCTTTTCCTGTCTGGGCAGTTTGAATCTCATTTCCTGTTTGGACACCGTGGCGAGCTCAGCAGCACTGGCAACGATGCAGAGCTCTCCAGCAGAGATGGCTGTGCAGTCCCAGAATAGAAAGAGGGCCCCAGCATGGACTGATCGGGAAGTCTTGGATCTCATCGCTGTGTGGGGCGATGAGTCCGTGCTTTCCGAGCTGCGCTCCAAAAGACGGAACGCAAAGATCTAAGAGAAGATCTCTAAAGCCATGGCAGAGAGAGGATACAGCCGGGATGCAACGCAGTGCTGCGTGAAAATCAAGGAGCTGAGACAAGGCTACCAGAAGACCAAAGAGGCAAACGGACGCTCCGGATCCCAGCCCCACAGATCCCGTTTCTACGAGGCACTGCATTCCATCCTAGGTGCGGCCGCCACCACTACCCCACCACTGACCGTGGACTCTGAGGATGGGATATTGTCCACGGCCGGTTCCTCGGACATGTTAGCGGACGGGGAAGATGAGGAAGGAGATGAGGAGGACGAGGCAGTCGACAGCGCTTACCAAGCTGATTTCCCCGACAGCCAGGAGCTCTTCATCACCCTTACAGAGATCCCCTACCAACCCTCCGCAGCATGTAACCTGGACACAGATTCAGGCGAAGGATCAAGCGGTAAGTGCTTTAAACATATTAACCTTTATTTTTTACAAAACTTGAATATTAATACTAAGAACAATCTGTGAATCATGATTTCTTCCCCCTGGGCGCTTAAGTAATCAGTAACAACTATTTAAAAAAAATCAAACAGTGTCCGGTTGTGCATGATTGTGCTGCCCAAGCTGCTCCACTCTTTAGTCCCTGCTACTGCAGCTATATTAGAATCCTGTCTATATGTCCGGGGATAGAGCAGTAGTCCTCCACGGACATCTCCACAAAGCTCTGCTGCAGGTAATGGGATAGCCTGTTCATCAGGTTCCTGGGGAGAGCGGCTTTACTTGGTCCTCCGAAGTAGGAGACGTTCCCGCGGCAGGAGACAAGCAGGTACTCCGGTATCATTGCCTTGCATAGCATGGCGGCATAGGGCCCCGGTCTCTGCAGGCTTTCTCGAAGCATCCGTTGGATCTCAGTGTCCGGGATCCTCATGAGAGTAATGTCGCTCATGATGACCTGCTTTGAATTAGGTAGGGGACTGTTAGTATTGGGACTGCTTGCAACAAGTTCCTTTACAGAACTATGACCGCTGGTTTACAGCCACGTGGTGGGGGCGGGAGAGGGGCAGCATACAGGGATCTTTCCCTGGCTCATCCGCGAGGGGGTGGGACAGGGCCAGAGTTCCTGCTTGGCCGATTGCTGGCAGCACAGGCTCGCAGTGCTTTCAATGTGAAAGGAGGCCAGTGGTGGTACTACAGTTTTAAGCAGCCACAAGTCTACGGCTTACCATGTTTGCCTGCTACAGAGAGTACCGTGTCCTGCCCCGCTTCCCAGATCGGCAGTGCAAAAGCCCAGGCACTGAAGGCGAGGTTCGAAAATTCGACCTTGTCCTGAGTGCGCATGTGATAGGTGTGGTTCATGGTCTTGTTCACAGAGAAAAACTATGTTCTTGATTCACAACCACATTTATCTTTCGGAGGAATTCACTGCCTTTTCCTCATTCCCACAGCCACATCTGCAACTGTCTCCCAACCCAGCTTGGCATCACACTCCCAGAGGCTAGCGCACATTAGGCGGAGGAAGAAGAAGACGCGAGAGGACATGTTCTCAGAACTAATGGGCTGCTCCCGAGCCCAGGCAGCACAGCAGAACCAGTGGAGGGAGAATTTGTCACAAATGCACCGGACACACATGGAACGTGAGGAGAGGAGAGGTGGCGGCAGGAAGACCAGCAGGCGACTCAAACGCTGCTTGGACTTCTGAGGGAGCAAACGGACACGCTCCGGCGCCTTGTTGATGTTCTGCAGGAACGGAGGCAGGAGGACAGAGCCCCGCTGCAGTCTATCAGGAACCGCACTCCCCCGCCACCAAGTCCCATACCCCCCTCTCCCAAAGTCCAAAGAAGGAGGGGTGGCAGAGTCCGTGAAAACTCTCACTCCACCCCTGCAGACTGCTCAAGCACCAGAAGGCTGTCATTCCCCAAAATTTGAAAAGTCCTTTCCTGCCCGCCTCACCCAAGCCCCCGTCCGACTTTCACCCCCCAGTTTCCTGTCTGGTTGTTAATAAAAAATACGTTTCTGTTCATTACTGTTTCAGTCAGGTTCTTTTGAGGGAGAGTCTGTCTGGAGGGGGGGAAGGGACTTGGTAATTGGACAGGACAGTCACCTTTAGCAGGGTACAGAGGCGGGGGCAGGTCCAGCAGCAGGGCACATACACAGTGCAGTGACTAGTTACCCTGGTCAGTCTGGGAGGTGGTTTTCATGTTCTGTGGGGGGCGGGGGGTGGTTGTTTGCTCTGTGACTTTGTGGCGGGGGAGGGCAGTTACAGATCTTATGCAGCAGTCCTTGTCCTGGATCACAGAGCCACGCAGCAGGGGAGCTGTAACCCTCCTCCCCCTGCCATAAAGTCACATAGCCCCCACATACACGCAGTCCCGCTCAGGAGGGCTGGCAGGCTCCGTTGAAACAACCAGTCCGCCACTGTGAATCCTGTCATTCCTGGAGTTTAGAAGGACCATTTGCATCAGTACACTACACCCGCTCCCCACCACAGTCTGCGTCCCCGGTTTCAAAGATTCCCGTGAAAACAGTACTAAAGACAACGGTGTTCAATAACAAAATAAAACTGATTTTATTTTTTTGGAAGGGGGTGGAGGGGGTCTGTAACTGGAGAGGATAGTCATCCTTAACTGGGTAAAGAAACGGGGGCAGGTTCAGCTTCTCTGTACAGAAACTTAAGTCACCGGTTACCCTGCTCAGTCTGGAACCTTGCTTTCAAAGCCTCCCGGATGCACAGCGCGTCCCGCTGGGCTCTTCTAATCGCCCGGCTGTCTGGCTGGGCGTAATCAGCAGCCAGGCTATTTGCCTCAACCTCCCACCCCGCCATAAAGGTCTCCCCCTTGCTCTCACAGAGATTGTGGAGCACACAGCAAGCTGCTATAACAATGGGGATATTGGTTTCGCTGAGATCACAGCGAGTCGGTAAGCTTCTCCATCTCCCTTTGAGACGGCCAAAAGCACACTCCACCACCATTCTGCACTTGCTCAGCCGGTAGTTGAACAGTTCTTTTTCTGTGTCCAGGGCGCCAGTATAGGGCTTCTTGAGCCAGGGCATTAGCGGGTAGGCTGGGTCCCCGAGGATCACTGTAGGCATCTCCACATCCCCAAGAGTTATTTTGTGGTCCGGGAAGTAAATACCTTCCTGCAGCCGTCTAAACAGACCAGAGTTCCTGAACACGCGAGCGTCATGAACCTTGCCCGGCCATCCGACGTTGATGTTGGTAAAACGCCCCCTATGGTCCACCAGTGCTTGCAGCACCATTGAAAAGTAGCCCTTTCTGTTAATGTACTGGCTGGCCTGGTGGTCCGGTCCCAGGATAGGGATGTGAGTCCCATCTATAGCCCCACCGCAGTTTGGGAATCCCATTGCGGCGAAACCATCTATGATGACCTGCGCGTTTCCCAGGGTCACTACCTTTGAGAGCAGTACCTTAACGATTGCGTTGGCTACTTGCATCACAACAACCCCCACGGTAGATTTGCCCACACCAAAGTGGTTCGCGACTGACCGGTAGCTGTCCGGCGTTGCAAGCTTCCAGAGGGCTATGGCCACTCGCTTCTGGACAGTCAGGGCTGCTCGCATCCGGGTGTCACTGCGCTTCAGGGCAGGGGACAGCAACTCACAAAGTTCGAGGAAAGTCCCCTTCCGCATGCGAAAGTTTCTCAGCCACTGGGATTCGTCCCAGATCTGCAGCACTATGCGGTCCCACCAGTCCGTGCTTGTTTCCCGGGCCCAGAATTGCCGTTCCACAATATCCACATGACCCATTGCCACCGTGATGTCCTGGGCGCTGGGTCTCGTGGTTTCTGACAGCTCTGTGCTACTCTCCGACTTCAGGCCCTCACGGCGGTGCCGTAGCCTCCTCGCCCGATTTCTCTGCATCTGCCTCAGGGAAAGGTGTATGATAAGCTGCGAGGTGTTGAGAACGGCCACAACTGCAGCGATGGTCACAGCGTGATCCATGATCGCAGTGCTGTGGCGTCCACGCTGTCACTGACCAGAAAAGTGCGCGAACTGATTTCCCGCCGACGCTTTCAGGGAGGGAGGGACAGCGGTAGTGACGGACGGATGACGACAGTGACCCAAAAGCACCCTCGACACATTTCTTTACCCAGAAGGCATTGGCGGCTCGACCCATAATTCCAATGGGCAGCGGGGACTGCGGGAACTGTGGGATAGCTGCCCACAGTGCACCGCTTCCAATGTCGACACTTGCCCCGTTAGTGTGGACTCACAAAGTCGAATTACTGTCCTTAGTGTGGACACACACGTTCGACTTTGCAATATCGATTCCACATATTCGATTTAAGTGAAATCGAACTACTCTCGTAGTGTAGACATACCCTTAGACATACTCTAAACTTCAAAGACAGGTGTGTTCTTAACTGGGGTTAGCTAACCAGCATTGTCTAGCTTGGGTTAAAATAGCAGAGGAGACATAGCAACTTGGGTTAGCAGCTTGAGTTCAAGTCTATAGGGCTGTCTTTAGCTCTCTAAATCCAGCTAAAATACCTGCACGTAAAAGGCTTCTGGTTAAAGGCGAAGAACTGTTCCTGAAGGAATCTTAGAGATACTTCAGAGATACAATGGGCCTGATTCTATATTTTCAATGGCTTTACAGTGAGTAACTCTATTAAAGTCCATGACGTTTTTCAATTTACACGGGAATGAGAAGAGAATCGGGTCAATGATATTTTAAAATCCATTGTCCTTTTCATTTCCTGTGGTTCTATAAGATGTTATTTCTGAATGACAAATATATTGGGAGGGGAATGGCCTTTGCTTGTAACAGTACTGAAGGTTCTGTATCTCCTAGACTGTTATAGATTTTAGAGACCTTAAAGCTTGATTCCAATCTCATTTATACCACTGTAAATTAGAAGTAAATCAATAAAGCTAATAAAGGGAGTTACACCAGCATGAAAATGGTGTGCCATCAGAATCAAGCCCTTAGATTAACAGTGTCCGTTTTATATTGATTAGTCCATTATTAGAAGCAATAAAAAATGTTGTTGATTTATTAAGTAGAGAAATAATTATTCCATTCTTGAATGTCCAACTTTTCGACATGCCATATTAAAATATTGACTCATAATTAACTATCATTCTTTCAGTGTAGGTAATGCTTGGTATGTAAAAAAATTTCTCTCAGAAAGGAAATCTGAAAATATATCTGACTTCCACTTTTGCTCTGTTGACTGTCTCTCGAATGCAGCTAGCAATATTTTAGAATTATATTTTACACCAAATTGAGGCGAGAACGAAAAAGTGGTTTTTGAAAAGTCAGTTTAAAAAATACAGTTTGGAGTCCTTTGTTTGACCCAGGAGATTTAGCTTGTGGTAGACTTTCTTATTTTACATACAGAACTGTTGGAGAATTAAAGTCAAATGGTACTTCATGTGAATTTATAGTTCAGGTGTTAAACATTGCTTTCTAGCTTGATTTGCAGTGGGTATTACCAATAACATTGAAGTATAAGATTTTCAGTTTTGTGTGGGTGAAGAGCAAAATGGTTTGTGGCACGTAGTGATTGCTTTCCACAGTGAGCCAAATAAAATGGCTGAGGGCCTTTGTAGAAGACACATAGCATGAAATCCTGGCTTCACAGAAGTCCATGTCAAAGCTCCCATTGGTTTTATTGGGAACTGGATTTGGCCCTAAAATATTAAAACCAAAGATTAAAATTAAACAAGGAGAATTGTATGGGAAAGCAGCTTAGCCAACAGATATCAATTAAAAAGACACAAACTCTTGAAGGAGCTTATATTTGTCCTATCAGATCAGATCAAATCCAGTCTCCTGCATTCTTTGTGTGTAGGAGTAAGATGTATGAGTGGGAGGAAAGATTAGAGAAGAAATTCCTACCTGACCATCATGATGGCTAGCTTTTACCCTTGCTATGCAAACTACAGCTGTTGCTGGTTAAAAATAATTTTCTTTAAAAAACAAAACACCTTCTAAGAGATCTTGGATTTTGATGCTACTTTCTGTTTTCAATCTTTCCTCACAATAGGTGCTTGCAGAATTACATTCCAGTCCACAGTTTAACCCTTTCTTGCCCAGTGTGCCGCCAGACCTCCATTCTGCCAGAGAAAGGGGTTTCTGCACTCCAGAACAACTTCTTTATCACTAACCTGATGGATGTCCTGCAGCGAACACCAGAAAACAGCATTGAAGAGTCCTCCATCTTGGAGACTGTCACAGCTGTTGCTGCAGGAAAACCTCTCTCCTGCCCCAATCATGATGGAAATGTAAGTGAAATGATTTCAGGTAATGCATGCTAAACTAATCACCCTAGCTTATAACAATGATGGTTTTTCAGATAGCAGGGATAATGAGAACCACAGCAGTTCTCTCTCTCTGATATCCATCTCAACAAGGTTAAGAAACTTGTTTTAAAGGAACAATACTAGAGCAGACCACCTATTCATTAATAGGTGGGTTAAAGCATCTTATTATATTCAGGATATTCTTTTCTTACTGCTCAGCGCAGTTGCTATTGTCTCTATACTTGCTTACCTGCTTGTTTTCTAGAGCACAGTAAAAACACTGTCAAATTTACAGGGCCTGTTGTGCCAATGTCCCCTTTCTGGTCTCTCTGAATGCCCTCCTTCAGGTGTTAGGTCTTGTGCCTTTACCTCTTCCAGGGTAGAATTCTGCAAATCCGCCACTCTTAGGCTTGGCCCTGGGATACAGTACCCAGTACACCAACCCTCAAGAGTTTGCAGAAAAGTGGCTTATCTTGTTTTTCCTTACAATCCCCTTTTAAAATTCATTCAGGGAACATTCCAGGAACAGTGTCAACACACAGTTTTCATAAACTACTACAGAGCAACTCTGATTCCATGTCAGTCATACAATTTCCAAGTGTTTCATTGAACCTGGTTTGGAACATGAATGTTCCAACTCTTCTTATTTCTTAGCCTGTTTCTGAAGCATAAAAAGGCCATGTTGCAAACCTTGCCCTTCTTGTGTTATAAGATGAGTACTGTGCCTGTTCTATAAGCCAAGAAATTTGTGACAAAATTTCAAGGCAATTTTTGAGGATTGTTTTAAGTGACTCAGTTTTGGTACTGGTATAATAGAAACAGTCACTCTATAATACCAGCATCCATCAGATAAAATAACAATTGCTTACCCTTCCATTATTGATCTGCTAGCTTGATCCAGATTGGCTTGGAAAACAGACCTATTGTGTGCTTCAACTAATGAAAAAACATAGATTTTAAAAAGTATACTGTATTTCTGTGTATACACTGGTTACTGACCAAAGTTTCCATTCTTATTTTACACTTTTAATGATGATTTCTCCAGCAAACTGAATAGCAGGCAACCCCCTTTTGTATAGTTATAGTGACTATATGGTTGTGAAATGTAGGAAAATTCAAAAAACAAGATGTTATCTGGCTTACCATCCTTTATATTATGCCTTACTAGGGAGAAGTTTAGACTGTGTTAAGACTGGCCAAGGGAGGAGCTTATTAAAATTTGAGACCGGGTTAATTATTTTGAATGGTCAGTATTGTCATCTCAGAGGTATTTAATCTTAAATGATGGCATATTGGGGTATGGGGAGAATACCTTCAGCAGCCGCCTCTGCAAAGAAGCATAATGGCTGTGACATACCAAGGTACAATCTAGACTAGTGAGTAGCTGTATCACCCCGCGCTGCAACCTTGAGTACCTTATGTAGATAAATCTCTGATAATTTTCATATGACTTTACATTGTGCCTCTTCATATAACCTTGTGGTGGGTCTACCCACGTGTGACCTCTGTTTTCATGGGACTTTGTATCAAAGCCTCATTTAGAAACTTTGCATTGCCCTTGGTATAATATTATAGCCCCTAAGGATAGAATAAGATAGAAGAAAAATTTCTTTTTGCTAGCAGTAGAACAAGAGCTCTTCTCCCCCCCCCCCCACTCTTAATCAATTGCCCTGTTGAATGAATGAGGTGTGGATGAGCAAGGCACGGAAGGCAGCACCTCCAGACAGCCTCAACTGTTGGAGAGGGGCTGGGAGCCAGACCCAAGGACAATAAAACGTGTCAAGTGGGCTCATTAAAGACAAGCAGACATACTGACGGCCTCGGGGGTTAGAAGCAAGCACCTTCTTTTGGAAACACCCTCTTTGCAGCATTGGAACAACACCCAGAAGAAAGCAGCACAAAGGACCAATGGACACAGACACAGATTTTGAATCTGGTATAGATTTGCATAAGAGGGAAGCTGCTATAAAAGTGAGGTGTCTTGCAGAGGACCCTGGGTCTCGTCTTCTCAACATGAGAGCATCGATCCGGATCTGCAGAAGCCCGGCTCCACCCCCTCCCCCATCTAACTCACCTGGCCAGTGAAGTTAAGGAGAGCAACTAATTGGTAACAACAAGACTGAGTGTGTTTGTGTTTGTGTGTGTGTGAGTGTAAGTGTAATATATTATATGCATATGATACAGTGTTAATGAATACATGTATTACTAATAAATGTGGCATTTTGCCTTATTCCCCCTGAAAAGATCCTGTGCAGTACTTTAAGTACAACACCTTACAGTGTTTTTGTGTGTAACTGCAGCCCGCCAGCCACACTTAGGCTACGCTCTGGCTCTCACCAGCCTTGGTTATACTGCATGGTGTCCCCAACTCACCCCCAGTCTCAGATTCTCTCTCTCTCTCTCTCTCTCTCTCTCTCTCTCTGCCCCCACCCCACCCCCGAATGCATGTCTTGTACTGTTCAGCTATCTCCTTGACAGTACTAATATGGTAAATCCACTATTCCTTTAAGGGAATAATGTCATCTTATTATCTTAAATAGCTAGTCAGACACTTCCATTTAAACACACACTGGATTAGATAAAAGAGCAAAACAAGTTTATTAACTACAAAGAGGGATTTTAAGTGAGTGCAAGTAATGAGGCATACAAGTCAGAAATGGTTACAAGAAAAATAAAGATAAGACATTTACTAATGCCTGACTTAACAAACTATAGTAGATTCAAGCAAAGGTTTTCACCATATATGTCAGCAGATTAGTGACCAAACTCTTGGGCTGGTCAGGACCTCTCTTCCCAGAGTCCAACAAATGCTTCCTTTGTCTCATTAGGTATAGTGAATATAATGGGCAAAGAGAAAGAGGGGTGCCTTGGTGTTTTGTCCCTCCTTTTTATAGTTTGTCCCCCTCTTGAAAAACATTTCCAGCTGGGCACTAGGAGACAGAGTTTATGTGGAAGGATGGTCCCTGCTTGGTTTTTTTTGTCACCTGTTTGAGCTTCCTTTTTTTCCCCTCCCTGCTTGATGACTTTGTTTACTACTGAAATGCAAACTAAGCAGAGCACACAAACCTTTGTTTAGGACAGACCTGTTTCCCAAATTTCTGTTTCGGCACGCTGTGGGGTTTGTAATGTATGTTAATAAAATCATAGAGGGGAAATCTTATAACTTCACATACAATGTTGCCACACGTATTTTATAAGAACAGTACTGACCAGCAAATTATGAATTTTCACAAGATCCCTTACAAGGCATACTTTGTACAAAAAAGATTACAGTGGAGTGTAGGGTGTGAAACAGACATGTATTCTGTCACAGTGGCATGCAAATAATGCATCCTGAGAGCTGAGGAGACCACACTGGACAGTAGCCCAGCTTATGCCTTTTTAGAAAGTTGCAGGCTTCCACCTGTCTCTTCCATATTTCAGCGGATCTGTTCTGTTTCTCTGAGAGAAATATAAATACCCATATGTAATTTTAAAAATGATTTTGAACACCACTACTCTTTGTGATGGTGGTTTAGTGTCCATTTTCCCCTGGCCTACACATCACAGTTTTGATTACCTTTCAACAAATTCCACCTGTATAAGCCAGTCTCCTGCATTAGTTTGTTGAAAGGAAAGATTTAGAGCATCCTGAACTGGGCACTTTTTATAATTTTCATTTTGGTGAAACAAGTGAGAACTGGGACTGGCTGGGCAAAAAGACTGGAACAAGGAGTCAGGGAGTGGTGGATTAGGGCTGGCTGGGCAAGGGAACTGGGATGAAAAGCCTGAGGAGCAGAGACTGGGGGTAGGTAGACAATGGGACTGGGATAAGGAGCCAGGGATAAGGATGAGACAGAACTGGGACAGGGACATGTTGGAGGGGACAGGGCAGAAGGGCCAAGCTTAGGGAGAACATGTAGAAGACACTGGGCCTGCTAGTGTATGTTCCCTTCCAGAGCCTGGAATAAAGCTCAAGATTCCTGAATTTCACCATTCCTTTCTTATCAGCAAATATCTGTGAAACCCACTGGTCAAGTGTGTGTCTCATCCTCCTCTAGTGCTGGTCCACATGAAAGATGACAACCTACTATTGCTGTCAGTTATTCTGTTAGCTCAAGTGACAGAAGTCTATGTGGTCAATCTAATGATTCCAACCCTGAGGTTGTCAATATGATGCCACCTGATAGAATTTCTGTTTTTTCAGTTTGCTTTTTTAAAAAACCTAGGAGATTACACACAAAGAACTATGTTAGAAAGAATATAAAGGTTGCAAATTCAAGCACCCAAAAGTTAGGAAATGCCAGAATTAAGGTTGCCTGTGCGACCTTAATTAGGTTCTTTATGTGTAAAGACTATCATGATTAACTTCATAACACATAATGATACTATTTTTTTCCCACAAGTTCCCTGCCTCATTCAGTGCCCTGGATGGATCTGTTTTGGGATGAATCGTGGTTGTGCAGTGATTGACGCTGCTTTCTGTAGGACACTTGTTGCAGACATCAGAACTTGTGTAGTGAAAGGAGGGCATCATGGTTAAGCAGCTGAATGATACCCTGGAGAACTGGATTCTATCCCTTCCTCTGCCACAGAGTTTCTGTGTGATGCCCAGCAAATCGGTGAAACCAACCTTTTTGAAAAGTGGTCATTTACTTGTGTATTCCAAATTTTTTTGGGCACCTAATTTGAGATTATGGAGTCTGATCTGCAGAATCGCTGCGCACTCATAGCTGCAACTGAGGTCAATGGGACTTGTGCTTTGAATACATAAAGTGCTATATAATGCTAAGTACTCTGAAAAAAACAGGTCCTAGGAATCTCAAATTAATGTTTGTGCAGCACTTGTATACTGTAGAGATGAGCACTATAGGAAAACCCATGGTGATTCTGAGCAGGGTTTTTAGTGTGCAATAAATAAGGCATGGGATGGTACACTGATCAACAAGAATAAAACAAAAGATTGAATTGTTTCTCATTAAGTGAGCACTGTCCTTCCTGTG